ACCTCCAGTATTTTTCTAAATGTCACAGGCCTTATAATCTGAATTAAGTACCTTAAGGCTGAATTGTTCATCACTGAACTACAAAATAAGCCCTTGAGAGTTTCAGGCATGTGATTCGGTTACTAAAAATGTAAAACAGAAGGCATATTAGAAAGGTTCATACATAATAATGCATAAAGGACAACATAGTCAATTTAAACTAAATTTCTGCATTAAATAGCTTATTGTAATGGAGTTATCCCTATTATGACAGACAAAATTGATTGCAAAGAAATAATGCTATATGCTTAATATTTTTTTCATGTTTGATATATGCATACCGAAAGACTAATTGTACATTCTTCTCTTTGGCAACATTTAAAAGGGTTATAAATTAATAACTCACAAATTGTTGTACAAATTAAAAGCTATCATACATGTTAGTCTCTTGACTTATAGCCGGACTTTACAGGCTCTAGACATTGTCAGTTACGATAATCCTCAGTAAGTCTTCCTGTTTAATTACGAACCCTCTTGTATGCATATGATTTAATAATTCATGCAAACTACCATGCTGTTTGTTGTGATAAAATTTTTATCTGTGCACACTGGGAACACATGAGGTCTAGTATTAGTGCTCAGTTTATTCTTTCCTGATAGTTCATGACATTTACATTGGTCTCCTGTGATCATTAATATGCCAATCCAACAGTTTTTTTCAACTATCCTTTTGGATGATTGGCACACTGTCTGTGAAAATCCTTTTTCGTAAATTGAAGGCAGCAATATCCCAATGCTTTGCTGAATGGTATTGAATTTGTGATGAGGTCCAATTTATTGGTCAACTGCTCACAGATACTCTTTGTTTATTACTTACTAGATGACAGTCTCAGGATCCAACATCAAAACTGGTATAATTTGGGTACTGATGCTCAATAAATGTTCTTTATCATACAAATACAGGAGGAATACATTAAGGGCTAAGCAAAAAGATGAAGACTAGTTGATTTATTCAGTCTGCTTCTATATTCATTGAAAATAATTTTCATTCCAAAAACTTTGAACAAAATCAGGCTCTCCTCCATCACAAAAAAAAAAACAACAAACCTCCCTTTTATATTGTTTTATGATGGATTCTATGTTTTGAAAGACTAATCATATACAAATGTATTTGTTTCTTAATATCCTCAGTCTAGGAAAGCTAATAGGT